GATTTCCTTGGCTTTTCTGGATCTTCTGCATTTCCACACACATTTTAGAATCAACTTGTCAATTTATACACACACAGACATATACAGAGAGCCCTGAAGAAATTTTGATTAGAATCACATTGAATTTAGAGGTCATTGAGGGATAACTACTATCTCAACAATATGTATTAAATCTTGTAATTCATGAGTAAGGTGTGTATATTCATTTATTTGAACATCCTTAATTTCTTTTGGCAAAGCTTAATAGTTTCAGTATAGAGGTTTTACTCATTTTTGGTTAGATTTATTTCTAGATAGTTAATGTTTCTGATGCTATTAAAATGGTATTTAAAAGTTTTTATTTTCTAATTATTTGTTGCTAATATATATAGAAATATACTTTTTTTTGAGAGAGAGAGCAAGCGTGTGCATGTGTGCAGGTGGGGGAGGGGCAGAGAGAGAGGGAGAGAGACAATCTTAAGCAGGCTCCATGCCCTGCATGAAGCCCGACACGGGGCTTGATCTCATGACTGTGAAATCATGACCTGAGCCAAAATCCAGAGTTGAACACTTAACCACCTGGGCCATCCAGGAACCCCTTTGTTTTCTTTCTTAAAGGCTTTACTTTGAGACATGATGGAAAAATCTCACAGGTACACATAGAAAAGTAAGACATGATCACAGTGAAAAGTGAAGACAATCTAACCAGAAACCTTTAATGCTTGTCAGTGAATGTTGAATCTAAAGTTCTGAGTGTGACATGTTATGGGACTGAAAGGAATGGTAATTAGCTTTCCTCTCCTTCTTCTTTACCCTCTCCTTCAAAAAAATCCACACCAACCAGGGCACCTGGATGGTTCAGATTATTAAACATCTGACTCTTGATCTCAGCTCAAGTCTTGATCTCAAGGTCATGAATTCAAGCCCCATATTGGGCTCTGTGCTAGGCATGAAGCTTACTTAAAAAAAAAAAAAAAGAAGAAGAATCCACACCAACTTTCTCATAATCTTTCTCAAGAGTGCACCCATGTCTTCATGGGCCTCAGAAAACTCTCCTTCCTCCAAACCCTCACCCACATATCAGTAAACAAGGCATTCTTGACATACATTAGGTCAAACTTGTGGTTCAGGTGAGCCCAGGTTTTAGCAATGGCTGTGGTTCAGATTCTGTATCTCTCTCCCTCTCAGCCCCTCCCCCGCTCACACTCTGTCTCTGTCAAAAATAAATAAATATTTAAACAAATTTTTAGGGATGCCTGGGCAACTCAGTTAAGCATCCAATTCTTGGTTTTGGCTCAGGTCATGATCTCACGGTTCATGAGTTTGAGCCCACATCAGGCTTCAAGCTGACAGTGCGGAGCCTGCTTGGGATTCTCTCTCTCCTTCTCTCTCTGCCCCTCCCTCTCATTCTCTCTGTCTCTCTCTCTCAAAATAAATAAATAAATAAATAAATAAATAAATAAATAAATAAATAAAAATAATTGAAATAAAATTGAAGTAAATTGAAAAAATAATTTAAAAAAACTTTTAAAGCCTGCGGATTCCAATGTTACTCTCTTTGCTTTTTCTCTCTCAGACATAACCCAAAGAGGATCCTCTCCTGTTTTAAAGATACTGCTACAGAGGTACAGCAACTTGATATCTACCCATCTGCCATGGCTCATTTGTACACTCACACATGAATTAGGACATCCTGCATCTTGCTGCAGACTGCTAGTGCTTCTCTAGTGTGCTTGGCTATTATAGGTTGCTAAACAATAATCCTAGTGTTTGCACTGATATGTAGAATAGAAGATGTGTGTTTGGTTACAACTCTAGTCAAACACTTCTCTCTTAGAGCCATAAAACCAAGAAAAGAGGAGGCACAGCAATAGCAGGGTTAATAAATCAGGATTCTAAGCAAGCCTAACTACAGTTTCCTTTTGATTGAGCGACCTCTGAATTCAAGGTTCATAAATTACAGCCCCAACTGCCCCAAGGGCAAATTAATTCTGAGGTTCAGTTGAATATAGTTTCAAACAGGTATAGGGTTTTTTAGCAGGTCTATGCGTGGACATTCCTAACCCTTTCACAGACTGACTGATTCGTTTATACATTCACTCTAATAAATATTTATAGATGTCTCACTTTGTGCCAGGAACTATGCTAAGCCCTGGAATTCTTTTTCAGGATTATCTTCCTAAACTCTTCATAAGCATTAAGAGCCTTTCACATTCTTCCTCGACATGTATACCTTCAACCCTGTATTAATCTACCTTCTAACATGCAAAGACTTATTCAGGTACTTTGGGCATAAATGCTTTCAACTAAATAAGTAGGGACATAAAAGAATTCCTTGTTCATATTTTGAAAGGCCCAGCCTTCAAAGTGACTTTTACCATTTCCAGCACTTAGTTCATGGCCCCCTGCTGGGCATGGCCTCAGTACCACCCTATTTAAGGACATATATAGGAATGAATTATAATCCACATTATAAGCTTTAGCAGATTCTTTCTTCACAAGAGGGCTTATAACATTAGTAGGACTGTCAGCTGATTAAACTGGTGCAAATTGACCCAGCAGGGCTACTCAACTACATGTGTGATGTTCTCCTTAAATATAGGTCCTGTCTGAAACTCAGCTGGCTTGATTTTTTTTTCCACCTGGCTTGATTCTTAACATTTGTACATCAGGTAGAATGATTATAAAGAAACAAGGAGGAAAAGAACCACTATTAAATACTATTGGAATTAGGATTCAATAACTATAGGAAAATGTATTTTCCTACAAAATTGTTAATCTTAGGGCTGTGAAATAAGAACAGAGTTGAGAAAATATATTTTCTTTCTTTTCTTTTACTATTTTACTTTTAAGTAACCTCTACACCCGACATGGTGCTTAAACTCATAACTGCAAGATCAAGAGTCACATGTTCCACTGACTGAGCCAGCCAGGTGCCCCGAGCAAACACATTTTCAAAAAAAGATTTCTCAAAATGCAAGTTAAGTTCATACCCTGAAATGTATGATGACTAGGGTAAAGAAATGAGGAATTTTCATGGTACATTTAAACACAATATTTTCTTTGCAAAGATACATACTTGAGTGCATTCTCAGAGCTGCCTGACAAGATAACATCATTTTAATTTTGAAAATATATAACAAGAATAAAGACACTTCCTTTGATATATTGAAATTGCATTAACAGTTCCTCTTCCCACTTCTCACACACACACACACACACACACACACACACACACACACACACACATTTACAAAGGGAGATTTAGAATATTAGGCTTAATAGTGCCTGGTCACCAAATAAATAAGTACATTGCCTTGCAACTGATATTGTAATAAGCAACTGCAATGTTTTCAGTATATAACACATACTGGGATGCACAGATTTAAACAAAACACACTTCCCTATAGCACAAACTGAAAAGCTATAACAGAAATTGAAAATACAGGAACAAGAAATAACACAAACTCTTGATTGATACGTTTTCTAGACAGGTAATAAATTACATGATGGAATGCATGCGTGAGTGTTGCATGTGCAAATTTGGCCACAAACTGATTAAAGTGAACATCTGATTAAATTTATAACAAATTACCAAGATCCCAATTCTGTTTGGCATATTTAAAATGAAAGAGTTCATTTAAAAACCTGGCTGAGGAGCACCTGGCTGGCCCAGTCAGAAGAGTATGTGACTCTTGATCTTGGGGTTGTAAATTTGAGCCCCACCTTGAGTGTTAGAGATTACTAAAAATAAATAAATAAACTTAAAAAAAACATGGCTGAAATGATTAAGGTAAAGGCAAAGTATATGTATGCAGCAATGGTGATGGAGGGTGGGAGTGAGGAAGAAGTAAAATCAAGAAATTGGGGTGGGTGGAGAGGCAGGTGGAGAGGGACTTTCTGAGAAACTTTTTATTTTTTTTTATTTTTTTTTTTAATTTTTTTTAACATTTATTTATTTTTGAGACAGAGAGAGACAGAGCATGAATGGGGGAGGGTCAGAGAGAGGGAGACACAGAATCGGAAGCAGGCTCCAGGCTCCGAGCTGACAGCACAGAGCCCGACGCGGGGCTTGAACTCACGGACTGCAAGATCATGACCTGAGCCGAAGTCGGGCGCTTAACCGACTGAGCCACCCAGGCGCCCCCTCTGAGAAACTTTTTAAAAGTTAGTGAAGCTATGAAAATAGTACAAGTTTATAATAAAAACAGAGTAAGTGTTGGAAAATTTGGTTCTTAATGTGTATGTATTATAATGTGTGTTGATAAGAAGAAATAGTAAATAACTGCTTTTAATTGGTTTAAGAGACAGAAAACCCTTTGGAGAAAAGTTAAGTACCTAAAAGCGGTAAGTAGCACCCATATAACAATTTATACTTTAGAAAATGCTTTAAATAATTATTATGGTAACTTGGCCTAGCACTGCCTAGCACATACTTAACACTTAATACTTGAAACTGAACAGAAGCACATTTCAATAATTAAAATTGTTAAATTTCAAATATTGTAAAGAATTTTTTTGGTACAGGATTTCACTAAGTATCTAAAGTTTGAAGAACTGCAATGAAAGGGATGACTGTCTTTCCCACTTGTGTTTTGTCTTTGATCTGATACACTTCCAAGATGCATAATTATGTGGGATATGGGTTAAGGATGGGGCTAGAAATCAAACACAATAAATGTGTGGTCAAGTACAGAGGTAAAAAGGAGAAACAAACAAACAAACAAACAAACAAAAAACAATAAGCAGGCCAAATCATTTGTGTTCTTAATAGGTTGCCTGCTATGTATCAGTCAGATCTCAGCTAAATTTTCTCTTTAAGCACAGGATGCATAGTCATAAAGTTGCTTCAAAAATATTAATAGATGATGAAGGGAATACATTTTAAACTATTTCCCAAATTGTGTTTAAAATACCCCTGAGACTATATTTTTTTTAAGGCAAAATCTTAAGAAATGCATCCCCAGTGAAAACACAATTGTTTTAAATTCCATTGTGTAGGGGAAAGGCTAGTTCTATACCTTGGGATTTGATTTCATCTGTTGCTGTTTCTGGCACATTGCTGCTGGTGTCTAATGCAGAGCTGCTTGGTACGCTCTGAGAACTCTGAAAAGAGAAAAGAAATCCCAATTGTAAAATGAGTTACTTTTCTTCAAAGTTGCATCAACCCTCCCAATTAAAGAATGCAGATAAATGACTTATAGGAGTTACCAGACATACGTTTGATTTTTCTAGGATTTAATGCTGTGTATTAGAAGCAAAGACTGCTTACTGCATTGATAAGATAAAATACATTGGTTCAACATGTCATCCCATCTTTCTATGGCTAACAAAGTGATATGCAAAGAATATTATTTCAGATGTACATTAATCTTCAAATTATACAATACTTTCTAGAAACAATATTTGAGACCACTGCAAGATGAAAGTGGACTTTTGAAAATGCTACTGTTTTCTTCTACTATTAGAATCATCTTCTACGTTTGTGGTAGAAAGAAAAATATTTCATCTTAATTGAAATTAAAGGTTAGTTTTATGAATAAATGGTGGAAAAATCATTTTTTGTACTCATGTTGATGTAGTGTTAAAAGAACGATAACAATATTTTTAAGACTCATATTATTGAACTTAATGGTGAATCCATATAACTATTTTCTTTTTTTTTAAGATTTTTTAAAGTTTATTTATTTTTGAGAGACAGAGAGAGAGAGAGAGAGAGAGAGAGAGGGAGAGAGAGAGAGGAAGGGGCAGAGAGGAGAGAGAGAATCCCAAGCAGAATCTGCAGTCAGCGCAGTCAGATGCAGGGCTCCAACTCATGAACCATGAAATCATGACCTGAGCCGAAATCAAGAGTCAGAGGCTTAACCAACTGAGTCACCCAGGAGCCCCATATAACTGTTTTCGATCGCATCCCTTTTTCTATAGAATATTCTTCCTCATTGAAGTCTTGTATTCAAATAAACACAAAGTTACTTAAATTATTAATATGGAAATTATATTTTCAGAATGAATAATGAAGTTATCCTAAAAACTGGTGGGTTTTATACTTGGGGTAATGGTTCTGACCTTAGAATGCAACCTTTATTTATCTATAACTTGTAATAGCTTTTCACAAATAATTTATCTGTCCACAGACACTTCCTGCAACTGTCTCAGATGAGTCAGCTTAATGGTTAACATGAATTTGCTCATTTCCATTTGGCATTTTATTTATCCTTTTGGACATCCACATCTTTTCCTTCCTTTTGTAAAAAAAATTTTTTTTGAGAGAGCAAGAGGATGAGTGGGGGAGTGGCAAAGGAAGAGGGCAAGAGAATCTTAAGGAGGCTTCATGCACAGTGCGGAGCCTGATGCAGAGCTCAGTCTCTCAACATGAGATCATGACCTGAGGTGAAATAGAGTCTGATGCTTAACTGACTGAGGCACCCAGGCACCCCTCTTTTCCTTTTTCATAAGAAAATTAATTTGACCAGTGTATTCTCCAGCATTAACATCTGATTATTTATGAAAACTCTACCTCAGTAGGGACTTTCACTTCAGTTGCTTCCTGTTTCCTTTCTTTCTCTTCTTTTCCATTTTCCTGAAATGGAAACAGTATTAGTTAAGTGGGATCCAAAAGAAGCTAAAGATAAAACTAACATCTTATACTCTAGTATAGCAAACTTTTTATGTAAAAAAATTTACATAATGGGCAAACATCATACCAAATAAAATCACACGAAGTAGCCATATTAAAAATTCAAACAAGGGGCGCCTGGGTGGCTCAGTCGGTTAAGCGGCGACTTTGGCTCAGGTCACAATCTCGCGGTCCGTGAGTTCGAGCCCCACGTCGGGCTCTGTGCTGACAGCTCAGAGCCTGGAGCCTGTTTCAGATTCTGTGTCTCCCTCTCTCTGACCCTCCCCTGTTCATGCTCTGTCTCTCCCTGTCTCAAAAATAAATAAAACGTTAAAAAATTAAAAAAAAATTTCAAACAATAACAGACATGTTATAAATGCCAACCAACTAGAAGGTTACTGTAACCCAACTATTATTTGAACCCCTTTTTCCAGCACTTTTGTCATGACCTGAGGCAGAATACTTCAACTAAAAAGAGAAGTAAGTAAATGACAAAATATGATCTTGCATCTCAATTTTCTCAATAATGTTAAATCTCAAATCCTCTTATAATTAAATGGCTAGAAATCTATGTAAGCCAAGTACCTGAACAGGTTTGGATCCCTCTTGAGATGCTGGCTCACTCATCTGGACCACTAAAAGGTATCATCAAATAGGAGGGAACACTATTATCAGACCAATATTAATAACAGAAAGAAAATATTAAACAACAAAAAGTACGGTGGGAGACCAAAGTCACTCCCAACCCCCACCGCATCCCACCATTCTATTGAATGGTACTAAGTTCTCAACTGCTAAACTTTTCAAACTGTACTACTGTTACTGCTGTTGTTACTGCCCAAACCTAGATTAATGCTAGGCTAGTGCCCAGGGAGGCAGGAAAGCTCAACCATAACAATCACCACCATTATCATTTTAAGAAAGAAACACACATACACACACACACACAGCAGCAGCAGCAGCAGCAGCAACAGTAATGCAAGTGAAGTTTTAAAAACATTATTATCATCATGGGGCACCTGGGTGGGTCAGTCGGTTAAGCGTCCCGACTTCGGCTCAGGTCACGATCTCACGGCTTGTGAGATCGAGCCCCATGTTCAGCTCTGTGCTGACATTCAGAGCCTGGAGCCTGTTTCAGATTCTGTATCTCCCTCTTTGTCCCTCGCCTGCTCACATTCTGTCTTCCTCTCTCTCTCAAAAAAAAAATAAACACAAAAATTAAAAAAATTTTTTTAAATATTATTATCATCCTTAATAATTTTTGAAATAACAAGATTAGGTGAAGTGAAACTCTGATGGCTACCCAATTCATCATGTATGAAAGGCATACAGATATTAGAATAATAATCTCACTACAAAGCATTTTTCTGAGTGGGGAGTTCTGAGAGGAATGTGATTTATCTTGCTTATTTATTCATATTAAGGAATTAAAGTGGATAATTATCTGATGCTTACTTCATTGCAAATGACTACAGTAATCAAAATTACTGCTGTGCCAAAAATCATTTAAGAATTTGTGTATATTTAGGCTAGGTGCTATGTAAAAAGTAAATTTTATATACACGGCCTTTGCCTCTAGGACAGTTACAATCTAGGGACTATTTAATTTAAAATGGTTTCTTTAAACTATGCTAGAGTATTTGCATGTCTTTTTATCAACACACGTTCTAGCAGAATAAACCAGAAGTACTGCCTTTGGAAACAACAGATTCCAGCACTTAAGAATAGCTGCCTCAAAGCCTTTTTGAAGCAGTTCATAAATAAGTAATATAAAATAGATTTCTTTGGTAGGTCCCAATTGTACATTCTCACAGCCTGCTTTCTTTGCTTATGGTGTCCATCTCCTGAAATTACTAGAAGCTCCCTTCCATTTCTTTTAAAATCAGGGTTTTTTTGATGCACCCAGATAAATTCAATGCAATAAACCTTTATTGGGTGCCTTCTATATGCAAGCATTGGGGTTAAAAAAGATAAATGAGACCTGTGCTCAGGGAGACAGGAAAACTTCCTTTGAAGAGTTCCTAGTTTAGTGATGAAAAAAAGGATTTACAGGTGCAGTTCAATCTGCACAGTGCAAAAGCAGAGGTGTTAAGGAACACATAGGAGTAAGCAATTAATTTCCCCAGGGAGTTCAGGGAAGTTTTCATAGAAAGATTTCTAAACTGGATTTTAAAGGACTAGTAAGAAATTTTTGTGTAAAGGAGTGGGGAAGGGTATTTGAGGCAGAAGGAACAATACACACTAGGGTATAAAAGTTCAGGAAGTGAAGCATTCATGTACAGAGCTTAGTTATATAAAAGAAAACAGCAGAAGATGAGGCTAAAGAGGTAACTTTTCAGGGCACCTGGATGGCTCAGTTGGTTAAGCATTCAACTTCAGCTCAGGTCAAGATCTCATGGTGCATGAGTGCGAGCCCTGCTTTGAGCTCTGTGCTGACAGCTCAGAGCCTGGAGCCTGCTTCAGATTCTGTGTCTCCCTCTCTCTCTGCCCCTCCCCCACTCACACTCTGTCTCTCAAAAATGAATAAATGTTTTTAAAAAAATTGTTAAGGTAACTTTTCAGTCTATAATGTTTATTCATGTGAAATCAAGGAGGATGGACTTTACTCTGTGCTTTTTAAGCACAGGACAGATGTGATCAAATTGGTGTTTTTAAAAAGTTAACTCTGCCAGCAATGACTAGAATTATGAAGGATGGGGGGAGGGTGCACAGAATGAAGGTAAATTTTACACCTGTAAATGTTGCACGTTTCAATGCCCCTCACTCTAATCTACTTTCTGCTAGACATTGCCAATACCCTAACTACATCCCTTCAGCTTCACTTTTCAGTACATATGAATGGTCTCTGACTGCAAGCACCTGCAATTCTGTCTGAGGGCTTGTGCCAGTCCAAATGTGGGATGGCAAGAAGTGCCTGAGAGTTGATATTTTCTAGGAGAAGCCCTCAGCCAGTGATGAATAGGAAGCTGCATAGAGTCCCATGGGTGGAACATTTCTGTCTCCCAGAGTTCCCCAATGGGATAGAGCCTCAGTTGCCTCAGTGAAACCTGCCTAATAGTACAGGCTTCCCTCACTTTCCTGTATTACTTCCCTACTCCCTTGCCATTGTTTCCTGGAACCACCTCCCAAATGAACTTACATTTAACTCCTTGGATCAAGGTTTGTTCTGAAGGAACCTAAACTAAAACAGATATGATCATCAGGATTGGGGGCAAAGTTGGATCTAAAGAGAAAAAGAGAAATAGTTAAGGTTCACTGAGTGTTTTTTCATATTTATAAGGTTGAATGGATCATGATGCCATTAAATAAAATATGGAAAGGAGAGGAAAACAGGTTAGAGGAATGATAAGAGTTTGAGTTTGTAGGTGTTAACACATTTAAGATACCTGCTCAATAGTCTGATAGAAGTTTGCAGGCAGTAAGAATCTTAATGCCACTGAAATATATTGTGACTAAAATATATTGTAGGACGTTATGCAGAATCAAGTCCATTGGATAATGATAGAAGCACTGTCCAGTCTGAAGTATTAATTTGCATTTTAGTTACCCACAGTGCACAGCATTATTCACACCTCACACACCCCACTCATGAGATTCCAGAGTCATCCTACTTAGATTGTCAGCTCTGAGGCTGGGTTTTTGTGAATCTGGTAAGGGCCTTTCACATGCACTCCCAATAGATTTATAAATTGGTGAATTGCAGCATTTGACATCTTGATTGGCAAGACTGTCAGTCATAGATGAAAGGGTAGCTAGTTATCCTTGAGGAAGAGGTTTCTCAGTATAAGAAAGTAATCGGGGCGCCTGGGTGGCGCAGTCGGCATGTTGTTGCCCGACTTCAAAGCCAGGTCACGACAGATCCGCGGTCCGGGATTCGACGCCCGCGTCGGGCTCTGGGCTGATGGCTCAGGAGCCTGGAGCCTGTTGATTCTGTGTCTCCCTCTCTCTCTCACCCCTCGCCCGTTCATGCTGCTCTGTTCTCTGTCCCAAAATAAATTAAAAAAAAAAAAAAAAAACGTTGAAGAAAAAAAAGAAAGTAATCATACACAATTCTGATTTGTCAGACTAATAGAAGATAAGCAGTATCATATAGCTGGATTTCATGAGTCTTAAATCCCTGGGTACTGACAGAAAGATGCATTTGCAGGAAGATGCTAGTGGAGCTCACCCAATACGAGTATCTTCTAGGAGATGAAAAAAAAAAAAAGCTAAGGATAAACCCTTGCTGATGAACACTTAAAGGTAAGGCTAAGAAAGAAAAGCTAGTGTAAGATAGAGATAACTGCTGAGAATGGCAGGAGACTCCTGCAGCTATTGACCTGCATGCTGCGGGCTTGACTCTCATTACCAACCTCTACTGCTGGGCATATGCCATGGCAAGCTCCTGCAGTCCCACAGGTATATGCCAACAGCCAACATCTGTATAGCTGTTGATGGGTCTGAACTGAACCCTAACCCCTGTCATTGGTCTGAACAGCCCCTCTCACTTGCAGTTAACCCTATGGTTGTACATCTGCAAGACACCAGCCTCAACTCCCATCACTGGCCTCCCCTGACAAATGCATGCCTACAGCTGGCCCCAATGGTTACACATGTACACACTGACAACCAGGGCCCCTGCAGGTGCCTGTGTGCCTACAGTTGGCCCCAGCCTCTGCTGAAGGACCTAGCCTTCACCACTGCACATCTGCCTGCAACTGGCCCCTGCAGCCACCCCCCTCAACTAGCCCCATAGCTAGGAGGGTGCACACCACTGGCTATGGTCACCATCACTGTCTGGCATGTCCCTAGCCACTAGACTGGAGATGCCATTAAAGAATCCAACAGTCCTTGCAGACATTGTGGACTGCCTACAGCTCTCACAAAGGATCATGTAACTGACGTTATGGACCACAGCTTTTGGAGCCAATGAGACACCATGCCACCTCCACCCATCCCCATCTACAGATGCTACATGCCCTCACACTTGGTATCCTGCAGTACTAGACCATGGGTCACAGCATGTGCCAAAATGCCCCCAACCACAGGTGAAAGTCTTTCCTCACCAAACTCATTCCATAAAATCTGGAAGAGACAACTGCTTCTTCAAATGCACAAACACCTATGAAGGTGACAGGGATCACAAAGAATCAGGGAAACATGACATCACTAAAGGAATGTAGTCAACTTCTAGTAATGGACCCCAAAGAAGTAAAGATTCATAAACTACCTAACAAAGAATTCAAAATAATTGTATTAAAGATGCTCAGAGTGCTAACAGAGAACACAGATAAACAATTTTATGAAATAAGAAAAACAATAGAAGATGAAATGATAAATTCCACAAAGAGAAAATATAAAAAAGAACACCAGAAATTTCAGAGCTGGAGAATACAAGGACTGAAATGAAGAATTCAAAAAAAGAGCTTCAATAGCAGATGAGACCAAGCAGAAGAAAGTTAGTAAATCTGAATACAGATTATTTTATTGAAGTATAGTTGACACACAATGTGACATTAGTTTCAAGTGTACAACATAGTAATTTGACAAGTCTGTACATTATGCTATGCTCACCGCAGGTATAGCTATCATCTGTTACCATAAAATGCTATCACAATACCACTGACTATATTCTCTATGTTGTACCTTTAATTCCTGTGACTTATTCATTCCATAACCGGAAGCCTGTATTTCCCACTCCCTTCACCTATTTTGCCCATCCCTCAATATCTTCCCCCTGAAAACCATCTCTTTGTTCTCTATTTTTATTAGTTGTTTCTGCTTCTTGTTTGTTTGGGGTTGTTTGTTTGTTTTTTAGATTCCATGTATAAGTAAAATCATACGGTATCTGTCTTTCTCTGACTTACTTCATTTAGTGTAATATCCTCCAGGTCCATCCATGTTGTCACATATGGCAAGACCTCATTCTTTTTTATGGCTGAATGATATTCGTGTGTGTGTGTGTGTGTGTGTGTGTGTGTGTGTGTGTGTGTGTGTATGGACATCTTTGTCCATTCATCTGTCAATGGGTGCTTGGGTTGCTTTCACACCTTGGCTTTTGTATATAATGCTGCAATAAACATAGGGGTGCATACTTCTCCTTGAATTAGTGTTTTCATTTTCTTTGTGTAAATACTCAGTAGGAACACAGATCATTTGAAATGATCCAGTCAGAGAAAAGCAAAGGGGAAAAAAATGAAGGGGAATGAAGAAATCCTATGGGATTGATGGGACACCATTAAGAGAAACAACCTATGTATTATGAGAATCTAAGGATAGAGAGAAAGGGGCAGAAAGCTTATTTTAAAAAAATATGCCTGAGAACTTCCCAAATCTGGGGGCATATTTGCACATTCAAGTTCATGAAGTTGCAAACAAATTCAACCCAAAGAGATCTTCCCCAGGACACGTTATAATAAAACTTTCAAAAATCAAAGACAAAGATAAATCTTGAAAGCAGCAATAAAAAGAAGTGTGCTACTTATAAAGGAACTCCATAAGACTATCAGTGGATTTCTTAGCAGAAGCCTTAAAGGCCAGGAGAGAGTGGGGTGATATACTTTAAGTAACCAAGAATACTCTATCTGGTAAAGTTTTCAGAAATGAAGGAGAGACAAAGTCTTTCCCAGTCAAACAAAAGCTGAGGTTAGTTCACCACCACTAGAACTGCCTTATAAGAAATGATGAAAGGAGTTCTTCAAGCAGGCATGAAGAGACACTAATTAGTAACATGGAAACATGAAAATATAAAACATATTGATAAATTTAATTATATAGTCAAATTCAGAATATTCCAATACTGTAATCTGGTAGTGTGTTAATCAGTTAATTCTAGTATAAAGGTTAAAGGACACAAGTATTATAAATAACTATGGCTACAATATTTGCTAATGGATATATAATATAAGAAGATGTAAATTGTGGCCTCAAAAACAAAATGGGAGGGGTGCCTGGGTGGCTCACTCAGTTAAATGTCAGACTCTTGATTTTGGCTCAGGTCATGATCTCATGGTTCATGAAATCAAGCCTCACATCGGGCTCTGTGCTGACAGCGTGGAGCCTGCTTGGGATTCTCTCTCTCTGTCTCTCTCTGCGCCCCTGCCCAAATAAATAAATTTTTTTTAAATGGGAGGGTAAAAAGGTAGACTCTTTGTCTGTAACTGAAATTAAATTGTTATCTGCTTAAAATACACTGTTGTATCTATAAGATGTTTTATGTAAGCCCCATGGTAACCACAAAGCAAAAATTCACAGTAGATGCACAAAAGATAAAAAGAATGCAATCAAAGCATACCACTATGGAAAATCATCAGCTCACAAAGGAAGGTGGTAAGAGAGGAAGAAGGCAACAAAGAACTATGAAACAGCCAGAAAACAATTAACAAGATGACATGATTAAGTTCTTCCCTATCAATAATTACTCTAAATTCATATGGATTAAATTTTCCATCAAAATGCAGAGTGGCTGGATGGATGAAAAACAAGACCCAACTACGTGCTGCCTAAACAAGAGACTCACATCAGCTTTAAGGACACACATAGGCTCAAAGTGAAGGGATAGAAAAAGATATCACATGCAAGTGAAACCAAAACAGAGGAGAGGTAGCTATATTTACATCAGACAAAATAGACTTTAAGCCAGAAGCTGCAACAAGAAACAAAGAAAGTCATTACAGAATGATAAAGGGGTCAATTCATCAAGAATTATGGGTTTCAGTGTTAACTGAATTCACATCCCAGCCAAGTTACTCATGTGAAAATTGGGGCACTGATTGGGAAGAAGGACCTCATTCCAAATTTCCAAGATTTAGTGGAACTAGGAGACTAATAATCTCAAACTCCTGAGTCACTCTAGCCTCTCTTGCAAATGGAGGCAGTTTGTCCTCCTGTATTTGTGGAGACTAGCCTTCACTAAATTGAAAACCTTGTAAAAATCTCATCTGAGGCAACTGCCTTGGTAGGGACTCCCATTTTCCTGAAGATTCACCACAACCACCTCTTACTTCTAGTAGACTCATAACTACAGTCAGATGTTCAAATGCCCCAGCAGGGCAAATACAAAGTCTGACCAGGAGGAAATAGCTTTTACAGCAAAAGACTCTCAGGATTTGCATATATAGTGACAAAAATCCAGGGAATATGTGAGAGTATACTATAAGGGAGTTAAAGCAAGGAGCACAGAATATAATGTTGAGTTGCTTAGAATTTATTAATATGGGTACACTTATCAGACATTAAGGGTTT